GGCGGCAAGGTCGAGCACGCCACGCATACCGGGCAGTGTCTGGACGTGGACCCGACGGACCCGCACCACAACGTGCAGATGTGGACGTGCATTGCCGGCAACGACAACCAGCGCATCGAGCTCGTGTCGCAAATCTAAGAACGTAGCCATGTCCATAGCATAATTGTTTCTCTTGTCCATGTCTAGCCTGCACACAAACGTTATGAACGTGTGCCACGGTCATTATTATCGGTAGTTGGCATTGGAGATGGGTTAGTAGAGCCACCGCGGCGCGTGTGTCTCGTCGTACTCGATCACGGGCGAGAAGAACTCGATAAACTGCTGGTCGAGGAGGCGCATGCGCGGCCCTGCAAAGCGGCAGTACTCGTCGATGATGGACGTTAGCGACCAATGCTGGATCTTCCGGAGGCAGCCGATGACGCAGCCCGTGCGATGCTAGCACCATCGATATGGGTACCACGTCGACGACGACGCGTCACGTACCGTGCCCTTGGTGCATTGTACGAGAATCGGGTGGTTCCGGACGTCTACGCAGCTCCTTAAGTACATGCTGGAGACGACGAAAATGCGCACCGAGCAAATGCGTCAGCGCCGTGTTCATCGAGTCGGGGTTGATGCCAAGAAACGGCTCCTACCCGTCCGTGAATGCGCAATGCAGGTGCAGAGAGCGCACCTTGTTGCCGTCAATCGGGCACTGAAACACTTGGATGCCATTCTCCTCAAAGAAGACGAGGTTCTCGGGGCGGTGTTCCTGGTGGCAGAGGTACAGCACCGAGCGCAGCCCGAGCTGCTGCAGGAACGCGTGGTTCTTCTTGTTCGGGAAGCCCGACCGGTACACGCCCGAGTCGACCATCGAGAAGTTCAAGGGCGGGATCAGCGTCTTCTCGTAGACCGACATGCTGCGACGATGGGGTCGGATTTCGAATTGGCCGTTTGCCGTAGCCAATCACAGCTCGGGACGCTGGTCATGGGTTAGATCCCGCGCCTCGAGACACTGCAACAAGGATATGGGTCAGAGTATATCAACGTCTGCCGATGTGCAGAAGGCGCCTTGCTGCCTCGAGAAGAGCATGCAGCAACGTTGCCCGGCCAGCGAGGCGCCCGCCCGTATCTAGAAAGGCCGTGGAAACGAATTTTAGCCAATGGCATCGCGCGAAATCTCACATTGCCGTTGCAGCAGCTCGTTGCAGCACGAACAATCCAAAACGCAGCGAGATATGGCGTCGACGGTCGCCCTCAAGATTGGCTTCAAGGGCGAGATCCACCGCATCCGCATCGACCTCTCGGCCTTTGGCTACGAGGACCTCGTCGCGCTCTTCGAGGCGACGTTCCAGCTGCCGCCGAGCACGTTCGCGCTCCAGTACAAGACGCCGGACGCGACCTTTGCCAACGTTGCGAGCGCCGCCGATTTTGACGCGGCGTGCGCGACGCAGGCGAGTGCGGGGAGCTTGCGCTTCTTTGCCGTCTCCAAGACCGAGGCGACGCTCCATGAAAACGTCTCGGAAGGCATCCGCAAGGCGTTTGCGACCATCTCTGGCGCGCTCGACAAGGTCAAGCAGGAGCCGTGGGTGCAGGACACGGGCGCCGCCATCAATCACGCCTACGCCAAGACGATCGAAGAGTCCAAGTCGACGTTGGCGAGCGCCAAGAAGTCACTCGAGGACATGGAAGTCGACAAGCTCGTCGAAGAAACCAAGGTCAACTTGCGCAACGTCGCAACTGGCGTCTCGGCGTATGCCCAGGACTTGGTCGAGAGCCTCCAAAAGAAACCCGCGGCCGCGGAAACGATGGCGCCGCCGGTCGAAGCCAAGTGGACGTACGAGCTGGCGACAATCCGCGACATCCTCCCCGACGCGGCCAACGACGTGGCGATTGCGGCGCTTGAGCGCGCCAACGGCGATGTCCAAATTGCGCTCAACGAGATCATGTCGGCGTAGTCGTAATGCCTCTGCCTCCTACTATTACACGTTTCGTTCCTTCTAGTACTGTGGTTGACGCAATGCGACTCTGCACAGCGATGGATCTCTCTGTACGTAATAGCTCCCTTCCAACCAATGCCTTCCAACGACCAAGCCAACTGTTATGCATGCATCGTCTCGGAGTTTTCCAGCTCAACGCGCAATTCGGTAAATGGCTCTATGGAGCGATAGGTAATAAAAAGCACGGCGAGGCAACGGTCACAGACTCTTGGCGAGGCCCGCGAGCGTCTCTTCGTCCAACATGTCGATGCTATCTTCGCCTGTCTCGTCGTCCCAGAGGCCTTCCATGAGGTTGAATTGGTCGAGGCTCGTGAGCTCGACCTTCTTGGCCGGCGTTTTCACAAGGTTGCGCCACGGCTACCACGATCCCATCAACCTCCTTCGTCTGCGACGAAGCGCGTACCTCTTTTTCATTCGGCGACAGCAACCGCCAAAGCTTGCTTGCCTACGCAGTTCTATCACCACGGGTGTACTATCAAATCGATGGAACCAACCTTCTGGACGATATCGTTGTGCGTCAAGTGCGGCTCCATCGCAAGGAGCTCGTGCTTCTTG